AAGAGCTATGCTTGGAATATCATGATTCACTCAAATGAGAGATAGAATCTGGAGTTCTGATCTCTGTCAACGCTCATGAATCAGGGACACTGTCTCATTTGCCAAGGCATCAAAAATCAGATGGGCTGGACACATAATGAGGTTTACAGACAACCGCTGGACTAGAGCCATTACTGACTGGATTCAATGGGACATCAAAAGATCACGTGGACGCCCACCTACAAGATGGTCAGACTTCTTCATCAAGACCCTGGATGATTGGTTTGAAGCTCTGCATGTTCCTAGAATGAACAGATGCCATTGGGATACGCTAGCACGCAACAGGGATGAATGGAGACGTTACTGGCACCCACTCGAGTAAATCGATGAATAACGGGGGATCAAGTGATCAAGTGATGTACATGATGCAATTCTAGATGCTAGGAATAATGCAGCACTGTCCCTAAGTTATTGGGCATCGTTTGTCAATCCTTGGGATGTAGCTATATGCTTCTTTGATCTGTGTGATGGTTCCCACCACTTCTGCTTCCTCAGGGAGGCTTTTCCTGCTCCCCTTCCAGAATTTCCATATGCATTTACTTCACGGCTGCTTCTTCATCTTCTTTACTTTTATTAAAGTACTTTTTATTATGTGAAATAATTTAACTTTCATGATTACTTTCTTGCTTCCCTTCGTTCCTGAAGGCAAGGTCCATTTTAACAGGGTTAGTCTCATTCCTCTCCCCATTCCAGATCCATGAATGGCATCCTTGAATAACGGCATAAGCAAAACGAATCTCTTAATTTCCAGGTGTCTCCATCCTTCAAAATCACCTCTGTTTCCTGCTCCCAGGAAGTCTTTTGACTAATCCAGCTGATAGTAACTTATCCTCGTTTGAAGACCTGTAATAATTTTTCATCTCTGTTCCATCAAATCCCCATTATCATTGGCTATGCCATCTTCTGCTTGTGATGTTCTAGTATTTGTGTTCATTTGTATATATTGCATGTATTCCTACTTTTATGTACATTTGTACATATTGTGTTTAGTATTTCTTGTATGTAACTTCACCATTCACGCCTTGTACGATATTTATCATTTTACCCAAGTCAGACTCTAAACTCCTCTAGGTGATGATGTACTTTTGTGAAACTCCTAGACATGTTCCAGCACAACACTTCATATGTGTACTTCATGCACTAACAAACATTTATTTATTGCCTTCATATGTACTTGACACAATTCTAGATTCTAGGAATAATACAGCACTGTCCCTAAGTATTTGGATGTTCTTGGTCAATCCTTGGGATGCACAGATGCCTCTAAATCTGGACTCATCAGATATTCCTACTGTTGGTTGGTCACTTCAGGCTGGTCACCTAAACTCCTGGCACCATTTCTGATATCACGATCATCCTGTTGTTCGTCGATTTCCTCGAGCAGGCACCAGTAACGTCTCCTTCCTAGCCCTGCGATTTTAAAAGAGCCATTTCAATGCTCTTTCAGGATTAGGAGAATGAGACCCATCATTGTTACTGGTATTTGGCATATTGAGTATGACACGGGAAGTTTGCTAGACTCTGCCGTGCAGGCAGGATACTTTTGGTAGCTTGCCAGGTTCTCCAAAGGAAAAATAAGATAAGATGTTGCGGCCGCGCGTTTCTGGGAGCTGGGTTTTATAGTCTCTGTGTCTTTATTTATTTATTTATTTATTTATTTTTTGCTTTTTGGGTCACACCCGGTGATGCTCAAGGGTTACTCCTGGCTCTGCGCTCAGGAATTACCCCTGGCAGTGCTCAGGGGACCATATGGGATGCCGGGAATCGAACCTGGGTCCACTGTGTGCAAGGCAAACGCCCTATCTGCTGTGCTATCGCTCCAACCCCAGTCTCTGTGTCTTGGCCGTTGACGGGACCAACATGGTGCTGGCGGCAGCTGGTGGGTGTGACGTCTACCTACTGGAAGATGCGGGGTCTGGGTTGAGAAGGCCCAGTCCCAATCCGAGTAGGCTTGGAGACCTGGGACTTGCATGCCTGGATTCCTCTGCCAGTTCTTTCATGCATGAGGCCTGTCCGAACTTGTGGAGAGTGGTCCCAGCATGGCCGTGGCTGGCTCCAGAGGTCCTCAGCTGCTGAGGCTCTGCTCGGGGCAGAGGCGGGGGAGAGAAACTCAACCCTCCCCCCTCCAAGGAGCCCCAGTGAGGATAGCCAGGCGCGGACAGCCAGGCACGGGGGCAGGAGACTCTGCGCTGTTCTCCTCCGGGAACTGGGTTTTATAGTCTCTGAATCTTGGCCATTGATGGGACCAACCTGGTGCTGGCGGCAGCTGGTGGGTGTGATGCCTACCTACTGGAAGATGGGGGGTCTGGGTGGAGAAGGCCCAGTCCCAATCCGAGTAGGTGGGTTTCTGATACACTGATATACTGAGGAAAAATATAAATTTTTCTCACAGAATTACAAAAGGGATATCTGAAGAAGACTTTTTAGCACATATATTTTTATTGAATCACCGTGATAAACAGTTACCGAATTGTTCATGATTCTGTACATTTCCTGCCACCAACGTCCACAGATTCCCCCTGCCTCCTCTCCACCAGACTACCACTATGGTAGACACTTGAAAAAGACTTTAGACTCAGCTAAAATCTATAAATGTCAGTTGTTCTAGCTAATAGCATAATAACAGAAATCAAGCTAAAACTGGAGTCACCAGAAATAAAACACACTCATCTCTGTCTTTTATTCAAAAATAATAAGGTAGCTGATTTGGCCAGTCACGGCATACTGGATCTGACTAAAACATCACATTGCAAATTCCCTTCAGGCCCAGTGCTCCCAGGGACAACTACTCCCTCAGAGGGAACCACTACAGTATGTTTAAGGTTCTCTCAGCTCCTGAAGATTAGAAAAGACCAAGGAGAGAGAACACTGCTTCCTCTAGAGAAGCTTTCTAGGTTTTCATCATAAAACTATTCTTAGAATGCCCAGATTCTCTCACTGAGGACTTCCTGAGATGGCCTGTGGGGGTCAAGGATGTGTGAACTGGCAGCACGGAAGTCTCCAGGGTCAATTGATGGCTATCAACATACCAGTGGGAGGGTGTGTGCCCTCCTGAGATTTGCATGCTTTTCTGAGTCACGATCTTTCTTTCCCAAATTTCAGTCCCGGACTTCCTACTTTAGGGGTCATACTCCAACCCAAACCTTCAGGTTGGCTTCCCAGTCTGTGTTCTGAGTCAGACAGCTCTCCTTCCCCACATCCTGGCCTTATTGCCTCAGCACACAGCATGGGTGTGGGAGTGGTGGGTCCAGATGATGTCATCTGTTTGTAAACAGTTTCTGCAAATCCCCTCCCACCTGAACTCTCAGAATCTCAGGAGCCAGAATTCGAAGTCCTCCCACCCAGAGAAGGCCTGCCCTTCAGAACTTCCCTGACATGGGTCATTTGGTCTCGGGTTTAAACATCCTGGATGAATCAACGTTGCAATTCTGACCTCGCCTCTGCACAAATACCTTGGGCTGGGTGGATGCCCATGACGGAGCTTGCCAGTCATTAGGCCATGAATAGAGCTGCAGCCAAGAAGCCAAGCTTCAGTTTTCTAAGAGCCTGGGCGTACCCACAGCGGCAGTGTCCTTCCCCAGGGTGCTGGTGATCTCTAAGGCCGAGAATGTGATGAACTTGGAAGTCACGCAGACCCCAGTCCACATCTCATCTCTCTCACTCTTCACCTGGCGGCCTTAGGGAGATGTTTGCCAAGTTCCTGAAACTCCCCAAAGCCCCACTTCCCTCAATACAAAATAGAAGAAAATTCATGGATACAGTTTAAACAAGCCTGGGGATTAAATGAGACAATAGATATAAAGCACCTAGCCTGGTGACAGTGATAAAAAAAAAAAAGTACCCACTGAAGGGTGGTGCTCTCTTCTATTCTTATTCCCCCATTGTTGCAGCTTCCCTTTTGAACCCAGTGGATGTTGCTCGGAAGGTCATTGCTGTTTCTCTTTTCTCTATCCTGAAATGAGTGGGCCGGATCTATGCCCACAGGCCTGGAGCTCCGACTCCCCCCCCCCCCCCCTGCCACCTCCCGAGAAAGAGATTCCCAGAGCATGCACGTGGACCCCACTGAGCATCCCAAAACCCTGGAACTTGGTCAGACAGTGTCATGGATGTTCATCTGGAAAGACAAGCGTGTCCTGGTAGGTTCCATTAGAAAATTTTAGTTACCAGCAAGAAGAAGAAGGAAGAAGAAGAGGAAGAAGGAGAGGGAGTGGAAGAAGGAAGAAAAGAAGGAGGGGAAGGAGAAGAAGAGGAGGAGGAAGAGGAGGAGGAAGCCCTGAATTGTTATCAATCCAAACCTTCGCCAGGTGGATAATAGGATGAGTACCTCAGTGGTGGGACTCTTGGAGGAGTTTCTGGGCCACTCAACAGAGCAGTTACTAAGTAAGTTTCACCCCACATGCTCCACTAGTAAAGCTGACAAGCTACATAACCTCAGTTTCTCTTGTGTAAAGATGGGGCAACAGCACCTGCCTCACTGAGTCATTTGACTGAAACGAGCCGGAGCACCCTGCCTGGCTCCTTGCTTGGTTTCTTGGTATCTTCACCCAGCCCAGAAGTCGCTTCTACTCTTGCCTGAACTTTAGATTTCTGCATTTTCCAAGTCTGCAAGCCTTTCTAACCAGGCAGGGCTGAGAGGTCCTGCAGGCGCTCTCAGAAGGACACAGACAGACAACAGGAGAAGGGGTGTTCTCAGAGGTAGAAGCTTTATTATCTCGTCTTCACAGGGCCATGGGATCAGTGGACACTGGCTGAGCCTCCGCTGCGTGCAAGTCCATGCACACAGCAGGGTCCTTCCAAAGCTCTTCTTAGGCGTCCGGAGAGGAAAATCGCGCTGGCAGAGGGCGAGGGTCGGGGCAGGGGGTCCTGAGCATCCAAGAGCAGGTGGCTAGTTCCCAGCAGCGCTGCACTGCACGGGCCTGCGAAGCCGAGACCGGGCGTCGAGGGGCCGGTCAGGGTCAGGGTCAGCAGCCGCCGCAGCAGCCGGTGCCCTGGGACGAGCAGCTCTGGGACCTCTGGCCGCCCCCGCAGCAGCCGCAGCCGCCCCCGCGCTGCCGGCGACGCCTCCTGGGGAAGCAGCAGCAGCCGGTGGAGCTGGAGCCGCCGCAGCAGCCCGAGCTGGAGCCGCAGCAGCCGCGGCCGCAGCAGGAGGACGAGGACGAGGGCGCGGGCGCGGGCGTCGGGGCGGGGCAGGGGCCGGAGCCCTGCGAGGACCCCTTGGAAAAGCCCTTGGCGGAAGCCATGCTCTGCTGGGAGGACATCCCGAGGACCTGCGAGAGAGACCACCGTGATGCATCCCCCCCGCGCACCGCTTCTTCCCAGCCTCGAGGGTCAGAGCGTTCGGGCTGGGACTGGAGGAGCCGTCGAGCCCGACTCAGTGCCCAGGGAGAAGCAGAAAACACCAGCAAAGGGGGATGCTGGAGAAGCAGGTCCCCCCCGCTGTCCCCAAGAGAGCAGGACGTGCAGAGAGATAAGACAGTCGAGGCAGAGACTCAGAGGTGTGCCAGTGCTAGAGTAGGGACCACCCGGGTGCTTGCAGCGGGGTGGACGTTAAAGGGAGCTACTCGGTCTCTGTTGGGTCTAGTACAAAATCTCATCACCCTGGAAGGTGGCCAAGACCTTCAGATGGTGTTGGCAGAGTTAGGAGCTCTGCGTAAACATCCCGTCAGTTTGGAATTACCCCAACCACAATGCATTTCTGCTGGGCACCTGGAGGCTACCCCATCCACCACTCATCACTCTCCTGGTCTATGCTTAGGGCTCCCCACAGCATAGGGTGGGAAGAGTGCAGGCAAGCAGCAAGTGTGGAATCCAGGGAGGCCAGAGACCTGGTTCCACTCTCCTCTTTCTTGTGAACTTCCCCTTCAACCTTGCAAAAGTGTCTCCTCTCTCTCTCTCTCTCTTTCTCTCTTTCTCTCCATCTCTGTCTCTCTCTGTCTCTCTCTGTCTATCTCTCTGTCTCTGTCTCTGTCTGTCTGTCTGTCTGTCTGTCTCTCTCTCTCTCTCTCTCACACACACACACACACACACACACACACACACACACACACACGGCTGGCCTCCACGTCTTCACTGTAACTGCTCCTGGCTCATGTTGGCTCCCTTCTCAAGTGCAAGGGTCTTCCCAAGGCTCTTTGCTAGTTCTGCTGCTTCTCCTTCCTCTGCTTTGAACAATTCCCCACCTTCCCACAGGCCTTGCTGCGACTCTTACCAGATTCTGGTCGACTGGAAGATTCACTCAAGCTTCCACCTGGAACAGATCGCTTCCAAGCAGTGTACTGAGCAGTGTACAGCCAGGGAACCTTTTATACAAGGGCCTGCAGCAGGCACTGGCACATGGGAGGGGCTTGTTTCTCAACTGACAAACTCAGCTGACACTCAGCATCCCAGAGCCATTCATCACCCAGGTAGCACCGTAGGTGGTGCACGTGGGTATTCAAGTCACTTCACAGAGGTGCCAGCATTGCTGTGGCATGTTTACTTTTCCAAACAGGACACTGTTCATAGCTGGGAGGTCTATGTGTGTTTTAAGAGTAGATATGACGTAGAGACAGACCCTTTGTTCCTTTCTTTCTCCTTTTCTATAATACACACACACACACACACACACACACACACACAACCACCCATCACCATGGCCACTGGTCCTACAGTCATTCCTCTCTTCATATAATTGATAGCTGAAAGACCATTTACTTCTTACTTTGGTTTGTATTTCTCTGGTTTTAGTCCTTGGATTCTGGAGGGAATCACAGTTATGTAAAAGTCTGCTGGATTTCACACAGATGCTTCCTGGTGAGACTGAGTGAAGATGACAGTAGGGATACACCTATGGAAAGAATCCCAGTTACAATTTCTCTGCATCACTGGAGACAGGAAAAAAATCTCAGCAAAAATATGGACCCATTAAAACTTGAAAATCTGTGCAACTAGTTACTTTAGTCTATTATAACACAACCCCAAAGGTTCTGAAGAAAACTGAGTGTTGGACATTGGCCCAATTTCAAAGTTTCAGGTCTGCCTGCTTCTTATACTAACCCAATCTCCCTTCAGATACAGGGATTCTCTAGGGCCAAATAAAAAGAGAAAAGAGGAGTAGAGTGGAGAGATGAAGGAAAAAGAAGAGAAAGAAAGAAAGAAAGAAAGGAGGGAGGGAAGGAGGGAGGGAAGAAAAGGAAGGAAGGGAGGGAGGAAGGAAGGAAGGAAGGGAGGGAGGGAGGGAGGGAGGGAGGGAGGGAAGAAAAGGAAGGAAGGAAGGAAGGGAGGGAGGGACGGAGGGAGGGAGGGAAGGAGAGAAAAATCACAAAATCAATTGAACAAAGGAAGTGGTATTTTTCAAAGGTGACTGTTAAGCATTGGAAAAGACTTTGAAGGTCTACTTGCTTCAAAGTATCTTAATCCAATTGATGGCCATGATCCAGAGACTCAACCTGCCCACACGGCAGAGTCTGGCAAACTCCCCGTGGCGTACCCAATATGCCAAATACCAGTAGCAATGATGGGTCTCATTCTCCTAAACCTGAAAGAGCCTTGAATATGGCACTTTTTTAAAAATCTCTGGGCTAGGATGAAGGAGACGTTACTGGGGCCTGCTCGAGGCAATCTGACGAACAACAGGATGGTCATGATAGTGATACAGAGACTCACAAATGAATCTCAGAAGAGAGCAGTTTGCTGCAGACATGTCTCTGGATCCAGATTATTTAAAATTTTAGAGTTCTCATGCTATTCATAACTAGCAATACAAAATAAAATAAATTATTTAGCATCTACCTGTGGGGCAGGTTTGAGTGGTGGTGGGAAAATTCAGCATAATGGTGGTGGGAAGGTGTAGTGGTGGTGAGATTGGTGTTAAAATATTGAATGCAATCAATTATTGTGAACAACTTTACGAAAAATAAAATTTTAAAAGATATTTTAAAAATTAAAAAAAAATCTTAATCCAAGCAAACTTTCTAGATTCATGCATATAGGAGAAATAGGAAACTAAGAATTTCAAATTGAATGGTAAGGATAGGTTTGGGGATGGGCCAGCTGGGCGTGGCATGAGGGAACAAACCAGAAAAGGTAAGTCACAGAAGATACCAGTTTCATTAATGTGAGTTTTAGAGCCTGATCAACAGGTTGCATGTACCGAGAGGTGAGGTCAATATTAGAAAAGAGAAGGAAGTAATGAAGTAATAAGATGGAGGAAGGATCTTCTCTAGGAAACTATTTGGGCAAGTACAAGTTCACTACATAGCCTTGTATGGCCTCATATAAAAAAACTTATTTCATTCCTCAAACTAACTCATCAAATTAAAAGCTAGAGATTCTTCTGGTATTCAAAAGGATCAGTTGAGTGTTCCTGAAGAAATCAACTAATTCCTAAGGAAATAAAAGCCCAACACAGTTACCAAAGTTTTTTCCTCCTGTAATCCACCCCTACACTCTCCTCCCCATACCCCTCCAAATACACATCCCACATGAAAGCAAAGAAAGGGTGGTGTCCTTCTTGATTCTCTTCTCAGGCCCAGAATCAGATTCTGAGAATTCTGAGAAAATGGATGTATACGTTTCTTCATTGCTTCCTGAACTCATACCTCCAGAAATTCATCTATCCCAGACCTCCTTTTTAATTAATTAACAAATGGGAGAACTTAGGAGTATCAGAATTAGAAAGGGGAGGGACTGGAGCAATAGCACAGCAGGAAGGGCGTTTGCTTTGCACACTGTCGACCCAGGTTTGATCGCCAGCATCCCAGATGGTCCCCTGAGCACCGCCAGGAGTTATTCCTGAGTATATAAGCCAGGAGTAACTCCTGAGCATCACCGGGTGTGACCCCCCGAAAAAAAGCAAAAAAAAAATTAGGGGGGCTGGAGTGATAGTACAGCAGGTAGGGCATTTGCCTTGCACACAGCCGCACAGGTTGGATCCCTGACATCCCGTATGATCCCCTTTACACTAGCAGGAGTTATTCTGAGTGCAGATGGCCCCACTTGGCCATCTCCAGGTATGACCTCCAAAACATTAAATTTAAATGTAAAAAGAGAATTATAAAGGGGGGTAGATCAATAGTACAGTGGGGAGGCCATTGCCTTGCACACGGACCACTCAGGTTCGATCCCCAATATTCCATATAGTTTCCTGAGCCCCGCCAGGGTTGATCCCTGAATGCAGAACCAGGAGTAAGCCCTGAACACTACCAGCTATGACCCCAAAGCAAAAACAAAACAACACCCCCCCCAAAAAAAGAATTAGAAAGATAAAGGGTACCTATTCATTGGAATCCATAATGAGTACTTTCCCATAATTAGAGGATGAAAATTTGATTTTGGGGCCACACTCAGCTGTGCTCATGGCTAATTCCTGACTCTGTATTCAGGGATAATTCCTGGCAGGCTCAGGGGACCATATGGGGTACAGGAGATCGAACCCGGGAAAATGAAATATTTTATAAACTCTTCCTCAGGCTTGAGGAAAACCATTCCAGAAACCTCATCCCTCAGTGACCTATGTGGGAACCCCCCATCCTACCTCTCCAGACCCCATTCCCAATATTGGCATGTCAGCACTGCTCACAGCTCAGAGTAATGATCTCAGACGTGATTCCTTCCCTCAGTCTTAAACTTTCCAAATTCAGAGCATGAAAGGGAAGATTGTTGCTCAGAGTTTCAGTGCCAAAATACATGGATGTTTAAAGTGTTGCTGGTGCCCAAAAGAGAACAGGGGGATCGGGGTGGCAGGATCCAGGGAGTGGGAGTGGAAGAGGCCAACAGAACGTGGTCAGGAAGCAGTGACATCAGGAATCAAAGGCTTTATTGATACACCGAAAAGTAACATCAAAACTGGATTCCAACACCAAGTTCTCCAGAAGGCCCGGTCTACCCAGAGACTCGGATAACGAGTATCAGAGGTCAGTCCTCATGGTGGGAAGAACGTAGACAGAAAGAAGGCGAAGCTCAGAAAATTTCAGCAGCTCCTTCCTGGGGAGAAGACGAGGGTCTCGGGCTGGCAGGTCTTCGGCAATCTCGCTCTTTCTGAGACACTTCTCGGTGGTCCTCAGCACACTGGTCAGCAGCCAGAACCCCCAGAGCAGCAGCTGGAGCCCCCGGAGCAGCAGCTGGAGCCCCCGGAGCTGCAGCTCGAACCCCCAGAGCTGCAGCCCGAACCCCCGGAGCTGCAGCCCGAACCCCCGGAGCTGCAGCTCGAACCCCCGGAGCTGCAGCCCGAACCCCCGGAGCTGTGGCAGCAACCTCCAGAGCTCTGGCCACTGCCGCCCCCACAGCAGCTCGAGCTCTGGTGTCGGCGGCGCAGGGACCTGCGGAGCTTGTGGCCCAGGTGGCAGCCACCACCCCCAGAGCCACAGCAACTGCCGCCCCCAGAGCTACAACAGCCGCCTCCGCCCCCAGAGCCGCAGCAGGAGGACTTGGGAGGGCATTTGGGAGGACACTTGGGGGGACACTTGGGAGCGGGGCACTTAGGAGGGCACTTGGGGGTGGATTTGGGAGGGGGCTGGCACTGCTGGCTTTGCTGGCAGGACATCTTAGCTGAAGCTGAGGGAGGCTGAAAGTTAAAAACAGACATTTAAAATCCAACTCGGCCCTACATTCACAGCTGAACTATGAATTCACAAGATTTCATCTTTATGAGGATCAGTCACTCCAATCTTCCCAAAACCAGCTGCATGGAGCACACAAAAGGTTTCAACCTAAAGACTCCATTCCTAGGACTTCTGTGACTTTGGATTCAAAGTGACGGCATTATTTTCCCTTCCCGCACATCCCCTCATCCCAGACCCCCAACCCCCCAGCCCCGGGCCCTTCCCTTCACAGTCCTCTTTTCTCCTCATCTTTCTTCATGACCATCTTCATTGTCGGCCAAAGGCTTCTCTCTGCCCCAAACCCCAGGACCAAGAGGTCCTTCTGCTACTCAAGGTGCAAGTTACCTGATTCAAACACTGGAGCAGATTGCCTGGAAGGCAGTGAACACTGGTGCTATCAGAAGCGTTTGCCTTTTATAGGGGATCCAACCTGACCGTGGATTGGGAGGTGCAGCATATGTGCAGGATGCCTATAGCATCTTTCACCAGGGGCCCAAATAACTATCCTCCCCTCACATCCCAGGGAGGGGGGACCCAATTCCTCCCTCCATAAGCATCTCAAGTATGAATGCACTGGAAGAGCCCCTGAGAATTGTAGGCCTCTGGAGCAGTGACGGCCGTTTGCAGATTGCACGCACCACCTATCAATCTCACTGGCAGTTCAGCTATGCTCCTATTTCCTG